TATTGACCTCATGCCTATAATCCATTTTATATACTTGTAGATGACAACTAAATCCATGATTGGAGATTTGTCCTCCAACGAAAAGCTAGATGGTACCAATTACGACATCTGACATAGGAAGATTCAATATCTTCTTAATGAACGCGAGGTTTTAGAAACCTTGTCCACTACTTTCATAGAGCCAAAGGATACTGCTAGTGCGCAGTACAAGGAAGAATTGACAACCTATCAGACGTGGTCCAAAAAGGATCGTTCTGCACGCTATACTACGTTGTATTGTATGCATAATGACCTTATTGGAGAGTTTGAGAATTCTCCCACGGCTAAAGACATGTGGGATAAGCTTAAGGTCACCTTCGGGCAAACTTCGGCTACTAGGATCCGTCCCTTAAACTTAAAGTGGATGGATTACAATATGGATCCTAAACATTCTGTTGCCGAACATTTACGTGTCATGAGTGCCATAATACGTGACCTGAAAGCTGCGAGACGAGATGTATCTGACGAGGAGCAAGTTCTAAATGTGGTTCGTTTACTTCCAAATGATTATGAGAATTGGAAGAACTTCAAGCTCCTCATGGCTCATAGCGAGAATGTAAAAACTTTTTCAGAACTCGCTAAACATATTGAAATGGAAGTAGAACGTCAGAGAACGTTAGCACCTTCCAATGTTGCATTTGTTGCCCATGGTGGTCAAGCCAAGGGAAATAAGCGCAATCGAGCCAAGAAATTTTTCCGTCCTTCTCAAACTTCTGGATCAAATGGTGGTTCAAAGAAACAACTTATGGCACATGGCCAAAGGGAGAAGAAAATAGCGCGTGTGAAGTGCTATAATTGTGGACAGAAAGGTCATTTCGCTCGTGATTGTGCTGAGCCGAAAAAGGTACCTTCTACCACTAAATCTTTTGAACTATTTGATTGTTCTTATGCATTAGTTGCTAATTCTATTCCTAATTGGATTATAGATACGGGAGCAAGCAAGCATATAGTTCATGAAAGATTTGGATATGTGGAGTTTCACCGGTTCTATTGGCACTCAAACTGTCATGTTAGGAAATAGGAGAGAGGAAGATGTCCTTGGGGTTGGAACATACCAACTTAAACTCCATGGTGAAAATACACTACTCCTGCATGATACTCTCTATGCACCCGGGGTGCAAAGTTGTTTACTTTCAGTTGTTTCCTTGTTAAAACTTGGGTTTTCCTTTAACTTCAATACTAGCGGTTTAGACATTTTGTATCATGATAATTTATCGGACATGGTATTTTAAAGAATGGTTTTTATGTTCTTGACTTGGACGAAAGTTGTAATGACTCATCCCATGCTTTTGCTTCAATTTATAATGTTGATTCTGAATCTGTTAAATGGCATGCGCGACGTGTCATATTGGTCAAGATAGAATGTCAAGACTAGCTAAAGAAGGACAATTGGGACAATTAACTAAGGTTAAATTTCCTAAATGTAAACCTTCTCTAGCTGGAAAAGCTACTAAAAAGCCTTTTGGTAAGGAATCAAGAGCATCAAATCATTTAGAGCTGATTCATTCTGATATTTGTGGGCCTTTAAATATAAAAGCTCGTCATGGGGCTACATATTTTATTATATTTATAGATGATTATTCATGTTATGGGTATGTGTACCTATTATCTCATCGACACGAAACACATGATACGTTCAAATGTTTTGTGGCCGAAGTTGAAAACCAAAAGGAACGAAGAATTAAGACTCTTCGTACTGATCGGGGAAGTGAATACCTCTCTAATATGTTCAAAGAGTTTTGTGAGACTAAAGGTATTTCATGGCAACTTATGGTTCCTTATACTCCACAACAAAACGGTGTTGCTAAAACAAGAAATCATACATTACTGGACATGGTTAGGTCGATGATGGCGCAAGCCAATCTCCCTATTAAATTTTGGGGAGATGCGTTGCTTACGACAATATACATCCTGTACCAAGTAAAAGTGTGTCGCTTACTCCATATGAGTTGTGGAATGGAAAATCACCCATTTTCGACCATTTGCGCCCTTGGGGTTCGGCTGGCTATGTGCATTACCAAACTCACAAGTATGGAATGCTTGGTCTAAGAACTACCAAAATAGTGTTCATTAGATACCCTGAACATTCAAAAAGGTATGTTATGTTTGGTGAACATCCAGATGGTGGAATGACTTAGATAGACTCGCGCAATGTCGATTTTCTTGAGGATGAGTTCCCAAGTATTGGTAAAATTAAGAGGGACCTTCAGTTGTATGAGTTACAACAAGAAATGCAATTATCTTTACGAGATGAGGGGGATATGTTACCTCAACAGGTCTCCAAAGATAATGAAGTTCTTCTAAATTCCATTTGTGAAATACAAGTATCTTTAGGAGATGAGGGGGATATGTTACCTCAACATGTCTCCAAAGATAGTGAAGTTCTTCTAAATTCCACTAGTGAAAAACAAACCCAAAATGAGGATGAGCCTCATAGAGAAGAGCACGAGATAAGTCATCGAGCTCATAGTCCCATGCCTATCGAGGACAGTGGGAGAAATTTTTCTAGTAGCTTGAAAAATAATGAAGGTCCTACTTTGAGAAGGAGTGATCATGGAAGAATTCTTCGTCTATTTTTTCAAATTGAGGAAGATGTATTTCTTTGTACTCCTTTAGAAGTAGATGAAACCAAACTCTTATAAAGAGGCAATTAATTCACCATATAATTCAGAATAAAAAGATACAATGAATGATGAGATGAACTCAATGATTAAAAAATAATGTTTGGGAACTTGTTGACCTTCCACCTCATCGTCGCTCAAATTGTATGTAAGTGGATATTCTAAATCAAGCGTGGGGTGGATGGATCAATAGAAAAGTTCAAAGCTTGTTTAGTAGCAAAAGGTTTTACCCAAATTGAAGGAATAGATTACGATGAGACATTTTCTCCTGTGGTGAGATTTGCCTCTATTCATCTTCTTTTAGCCCTGGTTGCCCATTTGGATTTAGAATTATTTCAAATGGACGTAGTTTGTGGGGACGACGAGTTGCTCAGTTATTGAACAAATAATGTTGTGTACAAGAAAGTTTAAATAATATATTTTTTTGCATGAGGAACATTTTATGGTTTGATAAAAACAGCTTTCCTCAATGGTTCTCTCGAGGAAGAGATATATATGGATCAACCTATTGGGTTTGT